CAACGTCTAGAACGACGTAAAATTTTTAATAAAATAAATACACGGAAAACTCAGTCCGCAAAATATGAAATCTGGAAGATTGGAAACAATGCCGACAACAAAACGGTTACATGAAGCATTAAAATCCACGTGTTGTTTTCAATTTAAATCAAGCAGTCATATTTGTTATCTTTTTGGATATAAAATATTAATGGGATATGCTTGGAAGGATATCGGCGGGCATTGTAAACTGTTACTCTTTTTGAAACAAGGCATGAATGAATCATGTAAAACTTTTTAATATTTTATATACATTTTTTTTTAATTTACGCCATGATATCAGAATAGTATATTATGCAACACCTGCGATAAACGGCATTTAACTCATGAGTTTATTTGAAACGAGCGGAGCGGAGCGGAGCGAGTGTTTAATAAACGAGTCACTTATAAAGTTTACCGGACGTGTTGCGTACTATACTTTTCTACAACCGTTAGTTTTTGCGTACATTTTCGCAAAACACGAATACATTCACTGACATGACTGTCAGAATTGACAAACGTCAACATTCGAAGCGTGGGAAATATCTCCGAAAATATCCGATTGCTCCCAAACCCGTGCGGTAAAATTCCGGAAATGTCCGAAGTGGCTCGGATTCGTGGGAAACGAAACTGACGTGGTAAAGCGACGCTTCCCACATGCTAGATCGGTGCGTAATTAGGTATTTTACTGAAGGGAGGAGAAAAAAGATTTTTTAGAAGGGAATTTTGCAATTTTCCAATTTTTACAAAATGTTGTTTACAAAAATGTACACAAAAACTAACGGTAGTAGAAAAGGTACAGTATGCACCACGTTTGGGAAACTTTTTAAGTCACATTAATTAAGCACTGGCTCCGCTGCGATCCGCTCGTGCCAAATAAACTCGTGATTTAAATGCCGTTTACCACACTTGTTGCGTAATAAGCATTTGTAACGTCTGCGTAATTACAAAGCATTTTATGTAGGGTGTATATGTCCGAAAAAAGCTTTGCACTTAAAAAAAAAATCATATAAATAGTAATATGGTACCCTTCTGTTAGGGGATTTTTAAATTTTATTAATTGTTTAACACTCTGCACAGCAAAACTTTCTTCACGCCAATTCAGAGTTGTTCCAGACCGGTTTGTTTCTCTTTGAATTCAAGTATATTAGTTTTAGCAGTTTGACCTAACTTTTTTGGGTATAATGGTGTAATTGTTTTAAGTCGTCGATATGACTTCACCGTCAAATTTACATAGGGTAGTTTGGCATTTAGTTTATCTACCTATATTTGCTGCAAATTTTTGAAATCTAACACGAAGTCGAATCGTATGAAGACTAACAAACAATAACAGTATTTATAATGCTGGAAGAAAAAGAGCAGCGGTTAAAAGTAGATTTAGTACTCTATTTCTGGTATCGCATCGCAGGGAGCGCCTATTTTCGGCAACTCCGTGATTACACATAGGCGTTCATTTCTTTTATGTTAAATTATGCTTCCCAAATGTACCCGGGATATAACTGACAGAAATAGAAATTCTTGTTAGCACATTAGGATAAGTTAGTAACTTTTTCAAAAGTTTTCGGATTAAAGGGTGTAGTCTATTTTCATAAATTAAAAAAGCGACTTGAATTTTGACGTTTATCAATTCTGACGTTCATATTAGACCTCAGTCAGTGAAAACTAATGCTCGTAGAAAAAGTATAGCATGCAACACGTTTGGTAAACTTTTAAAGTGATTCGTTGTCCGCTGCGATCCGCTCGTGCCAAATAAACTCGTGATTTAAATGCCGTTTACCACACTTGTTGCATAATAAGCATTTGTAACGTCTGCGTAATTACAAAGCATTTTATGTAGGGTGTATATGTCCGAAAAAAGCTTTGCAATTAAAAAAAAATCATATAAATAATAATATGGTACGCTTCTGTTAGGGGATTTTCAAATTTTATTACTTGTTTAACACTCTGCACAGCAAAACTAAAATTGTTATATAGCAAAACCACAACATTTTATTTAACCGGATATTTTTCTTTTATTTGCTTCATTCGCGGATGCGCCATATTATAACAAAGTACAAGGGCTCTAAATTGCGCCGATTCGATTCTCTCGATCTGGCCGCTCGCCAACTCCACTCCCAAGCCGTGTAATTGTGACTTAATTTTGATAAGCCTAAAATGAAGTAACAGATTTTACGAAATCGCTATCACCACTGGTTCTCAGGAATAATAAATTGAAATTTGCTGCTAGTAACTTTATTCTTATTCTCCATTTTGATATTTAATGCTTTCCTGGGTAGAAAAGAATGAAATACAAAAAAAATTAATTTGGTCGTGGTCGCGTTAAAAATTTGGAGCTGACTATAAACCAGAGCATCTCCCTCTATTCCAGATTCTCAGAGGCGGTATTAAGATTATTTCCAATGAGCTCTATATATTTTGTATGGAAATGTAAGAATATATTATTAGTTACCTTATTTAATAATCTGGTTTGGATAAAATGAATATATTTGCTTTTTTATCATATCTTGCTCACGATTGGCCAGACGGTGAGATAACAAAGATTGTTGTTTAATGAATCCTCTATTAAAAATTCATACCCTTTTACAAATTTTTGAAACGCCCTGTAAAACGTTTTATTCAACACCGCCATTGATAATCAGCCTATACGTAGTCGACATCTACCTGACTTGTCCCTTACTTATACTTGCTGGGTTTATCCACTAAAAATAGGTATGACAGTCCAAATTACTTTTGGGGGGAGGGGGGTCCGTCAAACGCCGATAAGATATACTTTGAGACACACCATAATCTGTTAAGCAATGCAACACAATTTAATTTTTAAAACCCTAGCTGCAGGTACCTAAATCAAAGCGCTACCCAAATAAAAAAACACAAAACAGCATCATGAGAAAAAGTGACGATTACAACGTTGCACAAGAGCACCCGACCACGAACTACGTGTGTCGATCAAAATATCACGACAACATTAACCACCAAAATGAATTCTGACTTTCTATAGGGTAGAAAGCCGTCTATATCTAGATCTCCCAGTCATGTTTAGAAAAGAATAAAATTATTTTGAAATTATGCTCTTCAAATTCATTTTCCTAATCTTAACAACCATCATTCCATCTATTGATTGCTAATTTCTACCCAAATTATCTTCCATGCAGTTAGCATACATTATTATTTAATTACAGTTCAACAAAAGTATGAAATTCTAACAAACAGGAACTTCAATAAAACTTCAATTTTAATTTTCCCAGTTAACAGTATTCAGGTTATCAAATGTGCGTGAACTTGATCCGGTGCTTAATTGATGAAGAGCAATCAGTCAAATGTGTTAATTATTCCAACTAGGCGAAAATGAGTAAGTCAGTTCGTTCTCCACAAAACTCCCATATTATCGGATGTTTGACGTTTTTTTTCCAGGAAGAGGAAATCCGAAACTATACAATAGTTACTTATTAGCTTCGAAACACTTTCATTGTTAAATAGCGCGCGAGCTAATCGTTTCACTGACCTTTCCTACATAGAAGTAAAATAAATTTTATAAATAACTTGAAACTAAATGTCTATTTTTGTCCCCGTTTACAATCTGCTTGAATGAGTTATCGCTACGGTAAATTTTAAAACAAATATTACACAAGAAAAAGATTGGGAAAGCAAAACTTTTCATCAATTTAATGTTGTTTTTTTCATTTCATTGTTGTCTTTCAATTGATTAAAATCGTTAGGGTTCGTAAAAAAGCGACGGTGAAATTAAACAAGTCACTTCCCGTAAAACTTACGGAACTGAAAATTTATTTCTGACTTTCTGACTCCGTTCAACAACGGTGCTTGCTTTTACAGCAGCTCCCTCTCGCGATGGGGGTTGAATATTCCATCACTTTCTGGACTTTCTTGCAACTCAGAAACGTCCGGACTCAGCTCATGCGGATCTCTCGCAAAAAATAATATATATTATTCAAGAAGTTTCATAAACGCAAAAAAGTATCTCAACGTATTGGGTACATTCTTGCAATACGGCTTGAAAACATTCACTGCGTCACGTTAGACGTAATCGTCAAAGTCCGTTTCTTAGAGCTACCGTAAACATCGCTCCCAAAACAAACCTGATGTCTTAATTTGAGACGTTCTGCACGCTTGGTCGTGCTTATCTGGGTATTTTAGAATAGGAAGTACAAAAACGACTATTAAATTAACTCTGACGTAATCTAGTCTACGAAAGATAAAGAAAACTATTAAACTATCTGTTCCATTTGTCTAGCTATATAATTAAATGGTTAGATTCATGTCCAAGTGATTCACAAACCTTGTAAAAAGGACAAAGTGTTCTGTTATTTTTAGCAACCAATAGATAAATCATATTATAATGTCCTTATGATTGTCTCTGGCGGTACTTAGGTCGCCGAATAGCTTTACCTTGCCATCTGAAATTTTACATAAAATATTTAAACCGAAATATTGAGAACCCACTTTCATTTAAATACTTTCTCAACTTGTGTTTGTGTTTTCAGTTCTGAAATATATATGCATACTTTATAATATTGCCAAATACTTAGATAATGCTGATTTTGAATATAATACGGAACCAGACGCCAATTAACATAAGTGAGGAAAGTACGAATTAGAAGATGCACTTCTAAATCGTGCACCCCACGAACAGATGCTGTTCAAGCAAAAACCTCTTCAGTATAAGCAAATCAGTTTACAAACTTTGTGTTCATATGGTCCATTATCGGGATTATAAGATTTAACAAAAACCAGTCAATGGATTTCTTTATTCTAGGCACCAAACTCCTCGTTGCTTTTTAAGAACCCATTTAAAAATGAAATGACTGTTTAGCAATTTGACTTAACCTAATAAACATTTTATTTTTGTGAACTTATAAATTAACAAATAAAGGAAATGCCCTGTGTTAATTTTACATGTGACAACAGTATTAACGTAATTTTGTGTTGGCTTGTCGTTGTTGGGTTAATATAATATATTGTTGCAGGAGTTCATTCGCCAGTGATTGGAAATAAGAGCACACCGATCCAAAATCCAAATCAAGGCATCGCCACCCTATTGGTTATGATAGCAGTATTGACAATTATTATTCTGTTTTGTTGCTTCTCGGCACCTGGAATACGATCGTTATGTAAACGGTACATATTCAGGACGTGTCCGTATGACGATCCGAATCTGGATAACGGTGAGCAAAATGAAAAATATAAATCTAGCACAATAAAAGATGCTACTTTTCTGTGGGATATCCTTCAAAGAGGCGGGGAAATTAGGAAGCGCCAAACTGGCCTAATTGGTAGGCACCCAACTTAACAACGTAATGGCAAAGTGCCTTTGCTAACTAGTCCAAAGTAGTAAATATTCGGTGGTAACTCCTGGATGAGTTAAGCTCTCTCTCTCGCGCGCGCGCTCTTTCGCTCCGTCAAACAGGGCTACTTTGACACATTGGACACATTGTTAAGATATTTTTCCTTTGCTAAATAAGTCAAAAATATTGAAGTACAGGGAAGACGCAAAACACACTTCATATGCGAATGAACTGTGATAAATAAAAAGCCAATTTTATCACAGCTCAAGTCTCTAACTATATGTCGGTTCTGTTGTTCTGGTCATATAGGTACTAGAAATATAGGGGCGCTGCCTACACCAATAATACAGGAACTTACGAAGCAACAATGAAAAAAAAATCAGATGAGGCAATTTTCCGGCAGTATTTTCTCAAAATATATCTATATCTCTTTAAATGTTCTAGAAAAACAAGTAAAGTGCGTGGAAATCGTTGTTTACAAAGAAAATGGCGCGAGTAAAAAATGGCCGTAGTAGGATTACTATATTATCTGATAGCTATATGGTATGATATGTTGAAGTTATGCGTCGTCGGCTCCATCTTGAGATAAAATTTGCGAAATAAGAAGTCAATATTTAAAAGTCCAATACAAAATCAGACTACAATTAAAAAACGAATAAATAGCCAATTTGAAGAACAGCTCGCCAGAAATTGAGTTAGTTGAGCTGCCTTGCTGATCCTTTATGAGGACCTTTACTTACCTACTAAACTTTAAAAATTGTTATGGGTGTTTTAACATTTCTTTATTTTCTAATTACTAGGATACGTTTTTGGTGATTACTTAGATTGCATAGGTTATTAGTGTTAATAATACCTGAAAAAATATAAAACCAAATTAAGAGATAAGACATCTCGAGTTCTTCCCTTTACCTTCCTCCATTATACCACTACTCCCTTCCTTATACTATTTTTTTAATTCGAATTATTTACCAACTAGATCTGAATCGATTGGCATAGTATAAATGGTTTCAACAGTTCTGCTCCATTCAATGGAACAAACTTTAAATATCCAGGCTGTCCCGAAATTAGATGTCTAAAATAGAGATGAAAGTTCTTTTCTACGTACTTGAGAGAGGCTTCTGGATTTCGCCTGGGTCGGGTATTGACGCTGTCTTGCCAGCTTATTTGGTGAAACGTCAGCAAAACAGAGTTAATACCCGACGCAAGAGAAATCATGTTCAACAGACTGCGGAAGTTTCTTTGGAAAATTAAACATTATTGTTTACCATATTATTTTGTCTGATCAATCTCAATTCGATTAGCTATGAGCGGAAATAGTTCATAAATTGTCGCTGTAGATTAGAATTGTCATTGAGGGTACTAAAACCTATAAATAAAATAAAATTGAAGAAAGTAGTAAATAAATCGACAAAGTATTCTCTCCTCCAAATTCCATACTAAAAATAAAACAATCACAAACTATTCCGACAGTTGGCAACAGTTCATCCGAGCTTAATTTAATATTAATTGCGATGTTACGTGTATTACATTGAAAACAAAAGTGAACTGCGCCACCTCACCGAGTTTTTTTGTTATACAAATCATTTTTTTATCAAATTATTGTCAAGTGACGGCATAATTATTTATAAACCTAGTTGAGTTGCAGCCTTTAAATTTCATTTTGTTTATTTCTGAAAAATGAAGTTACTGGAGAACGTAGGTGGCAAACCTCAAATTTAAAACGCGGAAATAGTTAAATATTTTATTCTAATAATTTTTAAAAGAGAAAAATTGAAACAAAATTGTTTCCTTATAGGGAAAAAAACTGTAATTTAAAAAGAACACAAAAATTATGAATTAAAAAAACCAATAAGTTTAATATATTTAATTATGTTTATTATTTAATTAATTTGTAAATATAAAATAAATATATTTTCAATATAAAAAATTACTAGATATGGATATTGAACTAGATTGATTGATCCAAAACTGGAGCAAAAAGTCACACCACGTTATTATTACCCAAACTCTGTCAGTTACAGTATTAAACACCTATATATAAGCATATATTTAATTAAAAATATTAAACTCAAGCTCGAAGGACAATACAATTAAAAATTTTGGTTAGTTTGATGTTTTAAGGTATGTGAAATAAAAAAAAAGTAAATAAACTTCGAAAATAACATTTTTAGTTTATAGTGTTGTGCGCGTACCAAGTTTTTAAACTTTTTGCCAAGTATTATAATGCATTTTATATCTAGAAAATTAAAAGAAAGCTCATGTTCAAGAAACAACAAACAAAATAAAATAGAAAAACTAATTTCAGATTCATTGAAACACTGTTCGAATATCATTTTCAGTATATACAAGGCGATACGGATATCCAACCGACGATCTTTCTGACGTAGTAATAACAGACCCGCCGAAAAAAGAGCATGATCAGGTAAAAAGGTAAAATTGATGTCGTTTGCAGAGTGTTTATTGTGGAAATGTGAAGAACAAATAAATTATGGTCTCATAAGCGTGCACATAACGCATGAATGCTTAAAAACGACTGATCTTCGCTTGTCGTTATAGTCTATTTGCTAACCCATGCTCTCAGTACGTATATCTCGATGCAATACGTCGTCTCGCGTGAAATACAAAGTTCGTTTCAATAATTTTCGTTAATTTCTAAGTTGCAATAAAATTTGCAAATAAATTAGCTACCTGTTAAACATATATGAGAATTAGTACCATAGAGCTCCCAGATATAAAGGCCCTGCCTATGATGGTAATACAGGACCTTTTGAAGTCATCATAAAGTGTAAAGAGTAAAGTGCCCTTATTTAAAAAAAACAGCAATGTACTATTAGAAAAAAATAAAAAGTTAAGCCCGAATATCAAACAGACAATATCAAGCAATTTCTGTACTTTGTTTTTTTTTAAGTTTATAACTTCGAAAAATTTATCAAAAACAAATCACAAAAAATAAAGTAAATTTTTAATATTTTATTCAATGTTATAAGTTTCTTTGTGTCGTCTGAGTCTGAGTTATTATATTATTATATTAGTGAATTAGACATCATTATAAACATAAAGAAACGTTCTTTACATTTTCCTTATCGAGAGTAAAATGATTTTTTATTTCGGATGTTTTATTACCAGCAAAAATAGAAACACAAAAGTGGATATAAAACATAAATTTCAAAAGTCAGTATCTATGAGATTATTAAGGGTATCTGGCCAATGTTATTGTATCCACAACGATTATTTCTGAAACGAACTTTCCTTTTACCATTCGTCTGTTTAATCATCTCTGAGTTATATGAAATATTCAAAGCAAACAGTAAAGGAACTGTCGGGAACACGCATTCAGGAAAAGTGATGCGAGCCCGCCAACCTGGACAAACTAATGCATTTTTATTTTACAGGTAGCACACAAGTCCCAGAGTCCACAACGCCAACAGTAATACTCCTTCCTTATGGTCGAATGCTAGTAGTCGATAGAAGTGTCTTCAATCAACTCCAAGTCGATCACACGGGAATCGATTTTATGGAATTAAGTGCCGATTTAATCCGAGCAGAAAGCGGGCAGTACCGAATCACGAACAGTACGCCCAGCGTTTTCATTGACTCTGACAATACGAGCAAAGGCATGTCTCCAACATCTTTGGGTTTTTCTCCTCCGGCGTACGAAGATATTTTCGGAAAAAAAGCACTCGACTTACCCCCATCCTATAGTGAAGTAAGCATTATACTTAAAAATCAACAAATCGAGGAGTGTATTGAAATGAGTGAATTGAATACGTGTCGGGAAGAAGGAAGGACTAAATCTTCGGTCAGTGACGATATCAATCGAGTCAGTGAGAATAGCTTTAATAACATGCAAAGATCGTTTAGCATGTAGGAGTAAAAGCTATTAAAGGTAATCTTATGAATCCTGATTGCTGTTAAATTTTCTCGAGTTTTAAAATGCGTCAAGTTTGAAATCGAAAGCAACGAAAAGACAAAAATTAGATTTTAAAATCACCTAGGTGAAATTAATTCGTGAAAAGTGATAGGGTAAATTTACTCGTATTGCTTATCGCTACCTGTACTGTTGTTAAATTATTATACAATTTTAACTAATGTCTGCTTGTTTTATTTATGTAACAACTAACAATCTCGTCTGCCTAATAAAACACATTACAGTGCTTCATTAGTCAAGAAGAAAATTGCTTAAAATCGTGTTCAAATTTCAGTACTACAAATTGGTTAGTCGCTATTTAAAATTTAGTAATAATAAAACCCAATAATATGGTATATATACTTTATTAAGTAAAGTATATTATATTATTTTAAAATAACAAACAAAGATGTAAAACTTGTTCTAATGCCTCGAATATTTAATGCAAAACCAGATTTATTTTAGTTCCGGGAACGGATATTCCGGGTGTTCCTTGACCCTGTAACAAAGTAATTAGCGTATAGAAATACTTCACACACGCGCGTTTTTTATAATTGAAGTTCAGTACTAGAAAAAACGAAATATATTTTTGTTCGCATCGAAATAAAAACAAACTACGCAATTGTTTTTGATTAGTGTGTGCAATACATGACGAAGCAAGGGGCAATAAATAATTTAGATTGAATGATTTATTTTCTTTCAAAAAAGTCACTACTTTTATGCTCAACGCCGCAAATTAAAAAATGTTAGTTTTACGGGCGAAGAAATAAACAACATACAGGGCCTCTACTACTATCTATTAAAGGCAATCGATTTTTTTTTAAACGATTTTTTTACTTAAAATTTGAAAACCGAACGTTAGAACCGTCATTTAGAAAATTAAATTTAAATTTAAATTTCGACTTGAACTTTAAAATCTTGTAAAAAACAACGCTCTGAATAGTTTTTAATCAAATAAAATCAAATCGATCATGTTACTTTAGTCATAAAATTTAGCATCACTCTATTCTTACCCGCTGAAAACATCGAAATCCAACAATCTCACTCCTGCATCGAGGGCATTCAATTTGGATAAGTCACTGTCATCCAGACTGAAATCGAATATGTCGATGTTTTGCCTAAGCCTTTGAGGATTCGTACTCTTAGGAATTGCTACAACGCCTCTCTGGATAATATGTTTCAACAAGATTTGAGCCGGCTCCTTGTTGTACTTTTTGGCAATTTCATTTACAACTGGATTTTTCAATATATTGGGCAACTCTACCCTGGACAAAAATAATACGAAACGGTGTCCATAATATAAAGCTCTAGGTACTTACTTTTTACCAAATCGATCGAGAAAAGAGGCCAAACCTGGATTTCCCAACGGCGAATATGCCGTTACGACAATCTTGTTCTTTTTACAAAAATCGACCAGTTCTTTTTGCTGATGGTAAGCGTGCAGCTCCACTTGGAGATTACAGGGTGGGATTCGAGCGTTATTCAGTACTCTGGTGATTTGAGAGATATTGAAATTGGATAAGCCAATTGCTTTTGTTAACCCAGCGTCTAATTGTTCTTCCATCGCCTACAGTAAATGAGTGTAATTCACATAAAGTTGGAACGTTATTTTATTCACAGCATATGATTGAACTCTAAATTAAGAAACCTTTATGGCCACTTTGATTTTTCTAGTATGAAGGGTGCAGATTTTTTTTTTAAAAAGGGACCGACGACCACCACCCAAGGGACACTGTGTATGTAAACAAAAAAATAAGAAGTTCAGGTTAGTATTAGTACACACTTCGTGAAGAGCCCTTCAAACTCTACTGCTGATGGAAACTTTAAGCTTTACCTTCCAAATGCCAATATGGTCGGTTTTTAAGTCCAGGTTAATTTTACCATCACTCGTCATAGGATGTAAATCACCTTCGATATCTTTGAAAGCAAATGGAACATGAATTAGATAGAGGTCAACATAATCAAGCTGCAAGTGTGCTAGGGATCTCTTGATAAACTTGGAAACTCCTTCCGGTCTCATTCCGCCCGGAGGAAGTTTGGTCACTATGAAAAGATCCTCTCCTAAAACAAAACAAAAAATTAAAAAAAGGAAAACGTTAACTACCTTATAGCGTACTGTTTAGCAGCTTTACTCACTTTTTACTTTGCCTGAAGAAATCCATTTCTTTAAGACTTTTCCAATGACTTTTTCGTTTTCATAAACATATGCTGTGTCGATATGTCGATAACCGGCTTCTAATGCTGCTTCTACTGCCGCTTCAAGTTCCGCATCAGTCGCCTGAAAAGTATCGATAACATATTTGGTTTTATTTTGTTAATTTAATATCATATATTTAAAACTTTCCATAAAATCTATATAATACCTAAATTTTATGTACACAACTTATCTCCTAAGTCACAAAGTCGAAAAAATAGAGTGTAGAGAATAGAGAATAGGATTTGTTAAAAGAGTACAACAATCGGCGATTGTTCTAGTCGTAATGTTTGCGAGCTAATAAAACATTTCCTTTGTACAAGAATAAAATTACATTTACAGTAAATAAGCGTTTGTTGAGACAAATTTGATTATATTTTTACTTTAATTGTATTAACTAACATATTTAATTCAATCACCCACCACTTCGTAAATTATATTCTTATTGCGCCAAAAAAGTTTTGCTGAAATTATCTACAAACCGACATTATCAAAATATATATTATATAACTTATTCCCTGAATTAAACAATCCTTAACATCACATCCGTTTGGTATTAACTGGAATACAAAAATTATTGCTTGGAATAAAGAGAATGTTAAACTAATGGTATGTTACTATATTTGCTCAAATTAAAATTTATTTGCTGCAAGTAAATCTATAATTCCTGGAAACACAATCTTTTTGATGCCAGTAACCGTTTTTTTTTTTGGGGATTCTGGCGAGAACAGGAGCTGACAAGCTGCCCGGCGCTCATCGCCATTTATATTGCCACCATGGTATAGGCTGATACAGGGGGAGGGGAACATCTTGTTCCGATGTTTTAAGGAATGTAGAAATTAAATTACTTAATATGTAATTGATCCCTCAAACTGCAAAGTGCAAACGTACTATTTTTAAGTCTAGGGAACCTATTGTTCTTCAAGGTAGGTACATTACTTCTCTTGAGGAAAATAAATTTAAAGTATAGGTTATTTTAGACGCCTGCTCAGACAGAAGAAGGAATAAGTGCAAAAACAGGGAAAGTAAGAAAATGTGGCATAACATTACAACCCTTTACTATTGTAGAAGCTGCTCAAGTTATTAAGATTACACCTACATTACTCTTGCTCTTGCAAATTAATATCTCTGGATATTGTAGATTTTAGACGATTATGCACCACAACTTTTTATAGGAATACAAAAGTTGCCCATATGATGCGAAAATTGTGAAATTGCTTCCTCGTAATTCACTGGTGACCGATCCAAACCAGTCGGTACCAACAAGTAGCTACGCGAAGAAACCGATCTGAAGAAAGCAAATTTGATTTTGCCAAAACGTCTACTTTCGCTACATTTTGTAAATTAATTTTACATTGCTTAAAATAAATGTTTCACTTTTGTCATTTCAATGAAAAATTGTCGGAAAAAAATAATAATTATAATTAGTATACAACTTTTCTTGAAATAAATAAAGTAGAATTATAATAATACAAACATATTTCTTCTAATATTATAAGGCTTACTTGGCAAATAGATATTTTTTTTGCAACTAATATATTTTAGTTGAGATACGAATTAAAAAAATTATTCCCCGAATTGTTCGATACGAACTAAATTATTTAATTACAACAAATGTGCTTTATTATATATAAATCTATAAATAATTGTCTATATTTTTAACTTCCTTATTCTTTGATTTTCTCAGATATCCTTTTAATGAAAGGAATCCTTGAAAAACATTCGCAGAAAATTTCACCAGTGAAGAATTTGTCTAAATTATTACATATATCATTACATTGAACGAATAGGTATGATTAATGTCACAGGAACTGCAGCCATGCAGCCATGCAGTGACAAGGAATTAAGTAATCTCTTTCTTGCCCTTCGACTTGAACTAAAACTTGATTATCACCTTGTAAACAATCAACATACTCGTGAAAAACTCAAGGTCATTTAATAATAATCAAATTTTCAATAACAATATAATCCTAGACAACATGATTAAGAACTTTGAGAATACTTAAAATAAGCATATTTAAGGAATTATTTAATAGAAACTTATAAAGTTTACCTTATTTTTCACTTAAATATTTTGACATTCTTGCTTTAAATGAAAACTGGGTCAACAATATTTTATTGAAATCGACAAAATATTTCATAATTAAAAAATAATGATGGGAGTGTCTACTTATTACCAGTATTGTTATTGGTGAGATTTTACACAGAGACGAAACCTTACCTGCCAAGTTCCATAGCCTAAAATTGGCATTTTTGTTGCATTATTTAAAGATACGGAGGAAGCTGATTGATTCATTATATTATATTATTTTAGAATAAAAACAGCGAAAACGCACTTTTAAAACTTTTAAACGCCACCAGCTCGTTCTATGTAAAAATGCGGTGTGTTGCCGGCAAGTTTGCTCTGGTGATGGGATTCCGGTTATATTAACCGTTAATCCTACCACGCTGCCAGCTTTACATTTCCTTAACGCTAAAAAACCGGCTCGTTTTTATTTCCCTTTTTTTTTTTCATTTTTTGAGGGCTATTTCTCGAATTATGTTATGCAATTTCCTGCAATTTTATTACAAAATTAGAAATATCAATGTTGCGTTATTTTTATAATGCAATTTACCCGAGTTAACGAAAGAGATTACGGATACAATAAAATATTTTGGAAATTCTATATCCACTAACGAAATAAAGAACGGCAAGAAAATCCAGCAGAGAAAAAGGAAAGAAATTACTAATTTAATTATCAGATAAAGTATGCAGCTTTGTCGTAGACCGTACAGTGTGCTCTATTTTGAAAGAAATTGGGTATCTGCGGTTTTCACGAAGCTGCTCTGCTTTCCTATGAAACAAAAAATAAAATCCTACTAGAAATATTTACATAGAATGAACAGTCCGTTTTTTTTTGTTACTAATCTTTTAATTAATTTGCCTTTTTATAAGCTTCTTGTAATGTAATACCCAGTTTTCATAATCCGTATTCAAAAGCTTTGCAGTACGGTATACAAAACAGCGGGAAGTAATTTAACAAAATTTGGGAACTATCCCTTTCAAACTCAAGAGAAAATGCACAATTATTACTAGAAAAATATATAAGACATTTAAAAAACCACAGGCTCATCAACATTTCTTCTAATTATTATTAATTAATTGTTATTATTGACCCACCTAGCTTACACAATAGAATGGCCTCACCGTATAACAGACTTTAACACAAACATCAGAGATGGGTCAGTGTGACAACACTGTTGACACTGACCTCCACGTTTAGATAATTTCATTCGATGCAAATATTTTTAGGAAAAAATGAGAATAAAAATTAATTTCAGCAACCACTGATGATATTCTATTCTATTCTTATCAATTACACCATTATTCTGAGATGCAACATGGTCTGACATACTTACGTTGAAGGTGCCGTAACCAATCGTTGGGATTCTAACACCTTTCGTTAATTCTAAACAAGCAACCGAGGTAGTTTTTGCCATACTTATTTTTTATACAACTTTTAAAATGGTTCTATAGGTATATGGCCTTTTCCCCATTAAATGAATACTAAAAATGACGCTGTCTGGCTTCAAACTACATTTATATCTATAGTTTATTGTAAGGAACAATACTTTTCGGCCCATTTTCGATGAATATTAGCTTTGGTTCACAAGAGCGAATTTTAGCAATTTCTATTTGCTGATGATGTACTAAAGACGCATTCAATACAAAAGTTCATTCAATATTTTGAAACCTTAAAAATCTAGCATCACATTTCTTAAATTGTAAGATCGCATTTTTTCTAGCATTTACTCTTATGATTATTTATTTTATATTTTCCGATATTTACGTAAATCATTCAATACTCTTTAAATATACTGATGTAACTTTTGTTAAATAGTAAAAAAAGAAGAAAAAAATGGTTTAAAATTTGTAATGTCACCAAAAACTCGTGCGATTTTACTATGCCATCTAATTCGGCTCAAATTGTACAAATATTTGTATCTGGTGAAGTCGTGCAAGCCTATAGACCTTCGATTTTGTAAAGTTCCTGGCACCGAAATAATTATTTCCGCTATTTCAATTTAATTTTTCTTAATTTGAACCGAAAAAGTGTTAAATTGATTTCCAATCATTGTTTTTTAATTGTTATAGTTCCGTGTAAGTGAAACGAGCGAAATAGAAGTTGCAACAGAATTTTTTATTTCGACACTACTTAGCGACTGGTATAAATATAAGAACTTGACCCTTCAACATTATCTTTCTCTTGAAAACGCATGGTGCCCAGATCAACTAAATTTAAAGATTTAGTAGTGATATTTGTTATATTGGACATTAGTGGTCATAACATTTTCGTCACTCTTAGCTTCAAAATATTATTCTTTGCATTTGTTAGATCCGTTCTAGAATATGCGTCCCATATTATAGAAATCACTTTCACGCCATAGAAAATAAACAGCTGAATTTCTAAAATAAAGAGCGATATTGAATATCCATATCCAATGAGATGTTTTGAAGATTTATCTGACATTTACGATATTATATACATATAACAACAATTATTATATACATTTTCATGTGCCCGGTCTTCGTCAGGGTCATTCAAAAAACGTTCCGCTAATAGAGTACTAGACTAATAAGAATAAATGGAACGTCAAAGAAATGATTTTAGTTTGTTTAATAATCATGATCATTGATTGTTTTTTTTTATTATTTCTGAAACGGATTAATATTAACTGGAATTGAGACCACAAATACCTTAGAAGCCATACAAGTTTCTGATGAATAAGCGAAAGAAATTATTATTTCCTCAGATAGTTCGTTCTCACTTATGAAACTTACTTACAAAAATTAATTAATAAATAAAAGTACCCTTTTTATAGAAAACTGATTAAAAAATATTATTTTTGCCCAAAAAAAAGTTTCGGGGCAACATAAGTGGTATACATTCTTTAGCGACGCTCCTGTACAAAATGTGAAACTTTTGTCAGCATTTATTTACTTACTTTTTTGATCCAATAATAGTATATTATGCAAAAACTTTTGCACGCATGAGTCACGAGTTTATTTGATGGGATAGATCCGAGCAACTTCCAGCGTGTTGCATACTATACTTTTTCTACGACCATTCTTGCAAAGGAACTCGAAATACTGACATGACCGACAGAAATGACAAACGTCAAAATTGAAGTCGTAGGTATTATTTGGAAAAACATCCGATTGCTCTCAAACGCGTGTGGTAATATTCCGGAAATGTCCGAAGTTGCTCGCAGCCGTAGAATACAAAATTGACGACGTGCGGTAAATGGCATTTGACTCACGAGTTTATTTAGCACGAGCGGAGCGCAGCGGAGCGAGTTTTTAATAAACAAGTGAATTAAAAAGTTTACCGAACGTGTTGCATACTATACTTTTTCTACGACCGTTAGTTTTTGAGAACATTTTTGTAAAACAGCACGAATACATTCAATTATATGACTGTCAGAATTGACAATAGTCAAAATTTAATCCGTGCGGTAAAATCTTCGAAATTGTCCGATGGCTCCCAAACCCCTGCGGTAATATCCCGGAAGTGTCCGAAGTCCGTTAGTTTTAGGATACATTTTCGCAAAACAACACGATTACATTTACTGACACGACTGTCAGAATTGACAAACGACAAAATACAAGGCGTGGGAAATATCTGCGAAAACATCCGATTTCTCCCAAACCCGTGTGGTAAAATCCCGTAAATATCGGAAGTAGCTCGGATACGTGGTAAATAAAACTGACGTGGTAAAGTGACCCTTGCCGCACGCTAGATCGGTGTGTAATTAGGTATTTTACAGACGGGAGTAGAAAAAGAAACTTTCCGAAAAATACATCGTTATATAATTGAGTATTTTAGATATGGGAATAGAAAATTTGCATATTATGCAACAAGTGCGGTAAACTTCATTTGAGTAATCAGTTTATTTGGCATGAGCGATGCAAGTTTTTGCTTAAAAAGTGATTTAAAAAGTTTACCAAACGTCTTACATACCATACTTTTTTTACGACCATTAGTTTTCTGGTACAGAAAATAGTATATTATGCAACAAGTGTGGTAAACGGCATTTGAGTCACGAGTTTCTTTGACACGAGCGGAACGAGTGCTTAATAAACCCGAGTACTTTACAGAAGGGAGTAGAAAAAGGTTTTTGTGATCTAAATTTTATTATGGTGTCTTAAACCGTTTCAGAAATAATTAAAAAGAAAACGATTTTAGGACTCCTGTTTTTTAACCAAACCAACGTTTTTTTTAATCTTCTCATTAACCTAGAAATTAGCGACCTTTTTTTAAAATACTCTGTATAACCTAGGTCATTAAACATTAAAACAACAAAGAAAAACCAGACTACAGAAAATTTTAATAGGTTTTTTTATATAATTTAATTTGAAATTAATCGAATAATTATTTTATTATCATTTCTATGGATTCATTATACTATATTTTTTTAATACGTATGATTTTCACACTCAGTAATTCTCTAAATAAAATAAAATGAAATGAAACAACAATTCAATTAAATCAAAAGCAAAATTGCAACAGTATCGGTTTCAACAGTATAAACATATTACTTTGTTTTGACATTTTCAAACCATAAGCACCATATGCGCGAACGAGAACCCATCAAAAATTAAGCATGTTTATACGTTATCTCTACAGGAGTTCGTTCGGCACCCCAAAAACAGTATCAATTTCATAATAAAGAGTATTTAAATTCACCGAACGCAGCAGTAGCGTATTAAATGCACATACGACGATGGGAATCAGACCACCGGTCTTGTCCCTGTTAAACCGAATTAGGGATGGTATTTTGAGCAAACTAATTAGAAAATGGTTTATATGTTGCGAGGGAAGCGAAATTTTCTATTCGGTTAGGTTATTCGATACATAAGTTCATCCAGGCAAGTATTTTTTTGGTAATGATTATCATACAAATAATATAGGTAAACTTTCTTGCCAATTTTGCTGTATTAGTTACAAAAAATACACAATTTTGCATTCTTGTCCTGCATTGACAATATTGCTTAGCACGAGCCTTTCTTGTCCATTGCGTGTTTGTCGGTACCCACTGAAAATTTTATTTAAGGGGGTGTCGCATTACAAACCAAATAACTTAAGCAGATCGGTTTTAAGTTATATGGTACGCAAGCAGTGAAGTAGGTAAATGTGTAGTGTCAAAAAAATAGTGCAATAAACGTGTAAAATCTTATTTTAAGACGGATCTAACAATCTTTCTTTATTTTCTTAAACTTAACTCGATTTTTTTGAAAATTTGGCGTTACATTCAAATTAGGTTCAATGATGGTTCGGAAGGTTTCTCTACAAATCTAACTTTATTTTTGGTATAAATACCAGGTCTGGTCCCTAGAGTAATTTTGTTATTTTGCTTATATTTTGCGAATATAATATATAAAAAATAACCTGTCCTGAATTTTCAATAAATAAATAAAGTATAAAATTAAATAAAGCAAATTAACTAGTTATAATGAAGTACAATGTTGCGCCTCTGGTAAACTTCCCCACCCTTCCCATCCCAAATAGGCTTTAACGGATTACGTAATATTATTGTCCCATCTCTGTGAAAGCCGCATTCGAGGTTTCCTTTTAACAGCCTTTTCACTGCCGATTTATAAAAACTAATCGCCATTAGACGTATTATCGGTACGTCATCATTATTTAGGTTCTATAGCAAAACATAAAAGTAGACAATTTCTGAGGAGTGCGCGTTGTTTGAATACGTTAGAAATACGTTTAATACTTACCTATTACTTGTTAGCGCTAGCTTTGAAGAAACTTTTGGAAATGTTCGTTGCGACTTTGTTCCACGTGCGTACTTAGATGCGACATATATGAAACGTCGCTAGCAAACAACCGAAATTTGTGTATTCAATTAAAAAAAAATGGTTTTTGAGCGAACCAAACATAAAGTCAATACGCAGATAACTCTCAATGGCGAAATTCTTCAAAATGTTAAAAGCTACATATATCTAGGCAGAGAAATGAATAGCCGTCTAGACCAATCAAAAGCGGTCAAAGGAAGAATTAAGATTGCAAGGGTCGGACTCCTGAACATGCGTAACTTGTCTGGCGCCATGAACAGTATGAACAATTGCAGCAAATTATTAAAGACAAATTTGCGGGTAAGAAAAGTATAAGAAAGATGAGGAGGAGAAGGAATCCAACCTCAGATATAAAATTTGTTGAGCTGTAAAAAGGGTTTGTTGGAAAATATTAATTAAATATATAAAATATTATATTATTATATAAAATATGAAAAAACAAGGTACTAAACTACATTAAGTATCGACAACCTTTCGAAAACAATATTTTGAGGGAAGAGCAGAACGACTGAGTTAGCACCACGTGCGTTGTGAATAAGTTTAATAAGTTTTGCTGTAATTATCGCTGTGAACTTAATTTTACTTTTCGACTTGACACTGTGGGAACACTATTGCAATAGACATGGCGATATAGTGAATAGTTGAAGAATTTCCTCAACAGACATTTTGTAACTATCGTTAGCTGGTAACAAATGTTATTTATATCGAGGAATATGTACAAAAAATTTCGATAAAAGAACACATATAGAGAAATAATAGAAAAACGTAAGTAAGCGGTATTTCTGCAACATCTTTAGCTGCTAAATTTCATTTTCGTTTTGAATCACCCTATATACTGTCGCCTTTAAATCGTTATGATACTGCCTCTTCTATCCACAACGCTCACTCCCATTTTATCAATATAGCAAATAAAACGATCATTCAATGCGAATTAAAACGTTAAACTGGTTCTACATAAAGATAATCTGGCCACAAACATAACTGAAGTGGCTTTTTAGCGTGTACACTTTATTGAGTTACAAACACACAATAAACTTACCAAAATTAAGCAATGCTTGCAAACATCCCCTAATAGCTCTCCAGTCCTATCGGATCCGATCTTGACAATTCTTATCGTCGCGAGTATCTCCAACCTTTTGTATTTTTGTCATTACATTTCGTAGGTAAATAGGTCCGTGTAGTTTTGTAGAAGCTGGCGCGTATCTTGTGGCAAAATTAGATATTCAACCACTAGAGAAATTCTTTTCCTCGATGAGATAATAATATGGGATTAAAACTTTGGTGTCTTTAAATCGACATTAAATTATCGAGAAAGTATCGAATGTCTTTGGAAGCGAGTATGTTTTCTTCTTAGGTAAGCAGGTGATCCACGGTCGATCCGAATTTTCACTAATCTCATCACAAAAGGGTTAACTAAAAGGGTAACGTAATACTTTTCGCTCGAGTTAGTTGAATAAATCGTGGAATTTAGTGTTTACAGATTTATTGTGTTTGCTTATTTACTCGAGTCAGTTCTGAAAACGAGAAAATGACTTTATAATCTTTATAAAATCCTATACAGTGTGTCAAAACAGCATATCCACCTACTTTCATACCGAACATTCTGAGAAATTGAATACTTTTGGAAAAAATGACATACATGTTTTTTCTTGCTGGATGAATTGGATCCAATTAAGAATAGAAAAATGAAAGAAATCATATTTAAAAAGCTTTAATGTGTAGATTTTAGTTGTAGTCGCTAATTGTAATATCTATACAAACAAATTTTTCGTTTGCTATCTGAATATTCAAAATTATCGTTGCACATTCGTCTAATTATGATGACATGCCGTTTTTTATTATGCCTCCGCAATTCCATATGAATTGAAAAGTATTCGATTTCACAAGGTTTTAATATTTTTAATGTTTTTATTTAGAAAACAAAAAAATATATAAGAGATATATAAGAAATCAAAAATATTTCTTTAAGAATACAAATATTAAACTAAAGTGATAAAAAATATATTTAATATAACCAAAAAAATTAACAGAAACACAAAAAACTAGGAATGGAAGTTTCTCGAAGTCGTGAATGCGTGAATATATAATAATTCTTTATTTCGCAGGCTATTCAACATCTTGATAAACTTTCCCAGTCACTCGTTCCGCTCGTGCCAAATCAAACTCGTCACTAAAGTAGCTTTACCAAACTTGTTAGTTTAGTCGTTAATTTAGTTTTTAGTTTTTATTATATAATATTTTAACCTCGATTTACAAAACAAACATTTCGTATCTATTATCGAACTGTAAAATATTCGCAAATCATTAACAAACACCCTGTATAACGCTTAATGCTGAAAATAATTTTTTACCGACGCCATGCAACTAAATAGAATTTTATGATACATCATCATACACAAGAATAATGCGCACAACACGAAAATTCAAAAATAAGATTTACACCTGGGTAACACTATCCACAGGCGTTTCGTTAGCGGTAAATAAACATAATAGGCCACTAGTTTAACGCCTAATTGCTCACAGGTTCTATCATCATTTTGAATCTAAAGCTCGCAGTGGCGTAACACTAAATTCTCACCGTCCAGTAAAGATATATATCTACAATATATTTAGGCATTCCCTGCAATCAGCATATTATTTATCAATTTCTTTGCACTGAACATTACAAAGAAAAAAGTATATGAGAAGTACAAATTCGAAATAACTTACGAAGTACGTAGTGAGTACGAAGTCTGTAGTTATTTAACGAAGAAACTGTTAATTAAATGTGAAAACGCAATGACAATTTCAAAACCCAAAAAATACATATTTTATTTTTAGTTTTGGTCAGAATCATTCCCATACATTTTTCGCTCCGTTAGTTGTAACTGTATTTGATGGTAAAACCGATAGTAGTTTTGATATGTTCGAAGTTGTCATACGAGGCATAAGATTTGTTACATTGCTTTGTTAATTATTTAATTTTCGAGCTTAAAAACCAAAGTATTAAACTATTTTCAAACATCCGATGTCAAGGGTGAGACCTATATATTCTATTCAATTTTAATTACTAAATTGCGATGCCAAAGGCTAACTATAAATTTCAATTAAGTAATCATCCCATTTGTCGGATCAATAGGTATATCTCTTTTATCCGAAGCCGCTTCCTCGAACGACGTCTTTTATCAATAATAATGAAATGACAACACTCATACTCCGAAAACAGATCGCTGCACATTTCTGGTCTATAGTTTTGACCTCGACGTCTCTACAAACTCTCTGTTGTCAATCCTAATTCAACGAATCTTTACAAATGATTAAACAAAGTTCTTCCAATTACAAAGTATGCTATGCGAAGAGGGTTCACAATAGGTTATAGCATTCAAACAGTTTCTACTTTCCTTTAAAATTTATTATTAAATCATTATTGAGCTGCCCCTATTCGTTCATATTTCCATCATTCATTTAAATAGAGAAACTCAATCAAAGCACCCTGCTCTACGTCTCTGGATTTAGATTACAATTTACCACCGGTAGTGGGGCACATAAATAAGGGTAACAAACTGGTTACTCTTTCAGTGATCTCTTTTCAAAAACTCATCGATCTTCAGCGGAAACAAATTTGTGAAAAAAATTTTTTTAATGGAATTAAACGAAGAGAGTGTCACGAAGCATTCAGACTTTAGTATTGAGCATATCTTGAATCGCGCGGGTAATAATATAACGAGGAATGAAGGGGACTTGCGTCACAACCCGGTGGAAAGTTTTCATTGGCTTCAGTGTTCCAGATACTGTCCACCAAAAGTTCCAAGTAGGTATAGTTTTTGAAATTTTAGCAACTTAGATTGGAGGGTATAGGTTAAGTGTTAAGTGTAAGTGTGAAGTATAGGATAAACAACCCAGTAACATCAGCAGGATCAAAACTAAATTTTTATTTTCAATTATTGCATCTTTAAAACTATTAAAAAGTGTTTTATCAAAATATAGAAACTTTTATATTACTTTTTAGGGAAAAGATACAAATTTTACAAAATCCTATATTTAAGATATTAAGATTAAGATCTGAAAAATATTTCATCTTAATTTTATATTAATGGTTAATTTTTTTAATTTTCGAAATATTATATAGTTTAAAAATTATATTTATTATATATTTTGCGTAAAACATATTTTTCCAAAACGGCATTGTATTTTTATTTTTAGATATAAAAATCTATATATGGTTCCTTGGCTAGATAACATAATATAGTAGCAATAACGCTGACCAATAAATTGGTAACAAAGTTAATATATCGTAACAATATAACTTTCTAAAACAGAAAGCTGTGCTATATCAACCGCGACAAAGAAAATATTACAATGCTTTTGCTCCTGCCTATAACTTTTTTGTCCATTTTTGCAAATATCTTCTCAGAATCTTTATTATCCAGCTCGTACTTCTTAAAATTAGTTAATGATAAAATACGATGATTCGTATTTCAGGGATAAACAAGAAAGAGACTTTTCAAAAGAGGCAACTGGGTAGGCATCCAAGAATCCCATTCACTAGTACCCAACTGTCAATATTAGAACAAAAATTTCAAGAGAGCCCGTATTTAAGCAGCGACGAAGTTATGACACTTTCGCAGAAACTGAAACTGGCGGACATACGAGTGAAAATTTGGTTCCAAAACAGAAGAGCGAGAGAAAGGAGAGAACGAAACTCGACTTCCAATGATAACAGAGCAAACCCAGAAAATCCACAAAATGGGGAAACGAACGAGCGTAGGGAACAAACTTTTTATAAACATTTATTAACGAATATTAATGAAAATTCGGTTTCTATCTTTACAATGTCGAATGAAAGAGACCCAAAAAAAATTTCCGAAGAGACTGCAGTCGGCAGTCACACACATTCTAGTCACGAATATGTTGTAAATTATGAAATCGGTCAAAAGGTAGTCTCCTCCATGTTTCCTTTTGCAAAATATTCTACAGCCAATGAAGAGGATTCTAGGTGATTTAGTCCGACAATGCCGTTTTATTGCGAACAATTTTAATATATGTATTAGAATAATCAATCAAGTGCGTGTAACTCATTTTCCAACTTTCCAACCTCACCAACTCCACTTCCACTCTACCAAAAAAATGCGAATAGCCAGACCGTTTGGTATGGCGTAGGAAATATGTGTTGAGTAATTTTCCCATGAACATGTACGAGGTGACCCGTTTAAGAGGGGCCTATACCTTATCTCGAAACCTAAGGCGGTTACAAAAAAATTAAAAACAAAAGTTGTTTCTATTAATATGACTTCTTTTTTTTATTTCCCTAATCGTCACATTTTTATCTACAGGGTAGTAAAACAAAGTTATATTTTTTTAAATAGAACACACTACATTTTATTGCATTTTTTGGATAGTCCTTTCCACCGTTTCGAACTTATTAGCGATCATCTTCAGAATTTTTTTAAACCACCATTGCCATTAACTTGGTTGCTTATTAACTTTTTTCCATCTATTGTTTTTATTAAAATAATACTGTTCTTTAGGCATTGATCAAATTAGTATGGCTATCTGACTTTCCGTTTTGGCTATTATTTTCCAATAATTAAAAAATATTCATATTCTTAATAATATAGACCACATGTCTTCAAAAAATATATAGAGACCTGCCTGTTGAAAGACAAACACAAAATTGATGATATTGTTAATTTTGACCTTTTTGATATAATCATCGCAATAGCTTTGAAAACAATAGTAGTTCTCTGTTGTGATAATATTACTGATTTTCTGACAATTATCAGTGTATTATAATATTTTAAGCGTATTTTTACTATTTTCTATTTATTTTATTAAGGTGCATTTTTGTCGAGTCTATTTTGTATAATGTATACGAAGGATGAAAAAGTTGGCCTATTAGAATGTAACCTCGCCAATAACAAAAGTCCCGCTCCTGCTCTCAGATAATATAGAGCCAAATTTCCCGATAAACGATTGCCAGGGGGAAAAAATTGCTAAAATGTACCAGCAGTTTCGAACAAATGGCAGAGTTTTAGTGAAAAAGGTAGGAGCCAAACGGTTTTGGATGAAAATATGCAGCTAGATATTCTTCTGCATTTTGAAAATACTCCAGAGACCTCCACCCGCCTCGTCGCTTCAGATATAGGCCTAGGACAAACCACACATCAAACATGTTTATAAATTAACAGTTATATGCCGTTTTAATTCACACCAGTAAAAAAACTACAAGAAGCAGATTTCAACTTATTTTGCAATATTAATGATGGATAGGCATTTTTCAGATAACATATTTCAAAATATAATTTGAACCGATGAATCAATATTTACAATGTCAGCGGTGCTATTTAATTAAAAAAAAAGCATTATTGGAGTTCAGAAATCAAAAAATGTGTTTTTCTTCAGATTTAGAATTTTAGGACCCATATTTTACCAACAAAATTTAACATCCGTACGATATTTAAATTTATTAAGGAACGAAACACGGCCACTTACACATACACATAATAATATTCCCCAAAGAGAGCATCCAAATTTAATTTGGCAGCAAGATAAGGAGCGCCATCATCGAAGTGCTGCAATCATTCGTTTTTTAAACGAAAATTACAGAGAGTGGATTGGACCAAACGGAACCATTTCCTGGCCTGCGAGGAGTTTAGATTTGATTGTGGTTCACATGGAAAGATATGGTCAATTTAGGGTGTGCAGCAACCAGTACGCGCGGCAATACACTATCTGAATGCAACGAATTACGTCTCAAATGCCATATACTATTTAGGAATAGCATAACTACTTGTATTCTTCAAAACTCAGGACATATTGAAAAACTAATTTAATTAATTTTACTTGTAAGTAATATATATTAGTGGCTATTTTTTGTAAGTCAGAGATCCGTACTATTTTATATAATTGAAATTGCTATTAAAGTGGCAGGGCGTTTCTTTTAAGAAAATTGCGTATTCGTAGAAAATATTTTAAATTTGATCATTGCTTAAAGAAATGCATTATTTTCGTAAAAATAATAGATGGAAAAAGTTTACAAAATTAATAAGCAACACAAAAATGATGGTTTAAATATAACCTGATTTCTGAAGATGATCGCCAAAAAGTCCGAAACGGTGCATCACAGACCCATCCTCAAATATATCGTTGAATTTGTCTTTGAAAGGACTACCCAAAAATGCAATAAAATGTAGGGTATTGTATAAAAAAAATGTAACTTTGTTTTACCACAATGTGTATAAAAAAGTCGCGATTACGAAAAACAAAAAAATTAAGGTCATTTGAATAGAAACAATTAAGTTAGAAAATATGGTCCATGGACTTTAGTGTATATTTCGCTTATAAACTTCTGAGGTAATAGAGAAATTAAAATTAGGTTATATTTTAATCAAATTGAAATTATTATAAAATCATTAAGGTTCAGGTATTATTGAAACACATTTATTTTGATCGTAGCAACCAAAAATGGAATAATATAAAGGGGTTCCGTTTTAAAAAATACAACTTTGATAAGCTTTCGAACCAGCCTGTATAGTATAAAAGTAATCTCAAAAAATTACCCATATGCCAAGAGTAAAACTTTTTGAATACCTTGTATTTTGACTACAATAATTCCTGGCGTATAGCGTAAATAATCCATAAGGACCACAATGAAAATTCCAATGGTATCAAGATAACCGGGGTAACGTACTCCAAATGACTACAATCAAACTATACGGGCTAACAAGGGTATTTTTTATTTTTTCTGTTTTTTTAGCTATTGTGATGTTTTTAATATTGTGATTAAGTTAATTACTCTACCTAAAGTGTACCTAGTGAATTTAATGAATAGGTAATAGCGACCTAAGCAAAAATTATTAGGGTATGGTCTCTTCATAAATGTAAGAAAGTGACCAATTGCTTTTGAATGAGATTATTAAAGGGTGGTCATTAACATACAATGCAACAAGATTATTACCTAAAGTTTCGGAATTTAAATTCAGGTATAATTGTGGTCCGTAATAGAAAATAATTTTATACCTACCTGTGTTTAATATTCTTTGGTTTGGTATACTACTTAGTTTAAGTTTATTAGTAATCATTCTTATTTCGTGTGTAATACAGCGTGTGTTGAATCGTGTGCGAATTATGCAAAATATGAGCGAGATGCTCCCGCCCAAATGTAGAAAACACTATTCTATTGATACTAAGAAAGTTATAAATAAAGTTTATTTGACTCTCATTGAACGTGGTGCCAGCAAGCAAGCATCTTTAGAAGAAACGGCCACATTTACGAAAATTTCAACATCAACTGTATGGAAAATTGTGAATAATCCCATTTCAGCGAGGAAAAAAAGAAGCGATGCTGACATTTTCTCGAGTGTAGATGAAAGTGATCAAGATATAATACCTCGTAAAATTTACCAGTTATACGAGGAACAAAGCGTGCCTACAATAGATATCTTAATTAGGAGGCTTGAAAAAGATGAAATCGGTGTTAAATGTGGCAGAACTACCTTATGGAAGTGTATTCAACACATGGGTTTTAGATTTAAAAAATTGCCAAAAGGCGAGTTTTAATAGAATATTTTAGAATTCGGAAATGGCGACTGGAATATCTAGAAAAAATTAGGAATTACAAAGAACAACAAAGGCCAATTATTTACTTGGATGAAACCTGGTTCGACACTTATGATACCCCGGAAAAGGGTTGGGTTGACTCCACTGATAAGTATAAAACTAACGCGCCATCAAAAAAAGGTAAAAGAATAACTATTTTGCATGCTGGCTCAAAAGATGGTTGGATTCCAAATGAACTTTCTCTGTCTGCGAAAAATATTAAAGATTCTTGTCTGGATTACCATGAAGACACCACCGCTGATTTATTTGGAAGTTGATTTAAAAACAAACTAGTTCCAAAGATTCCTCCTAATAGCGTAATTGAAATGGGCAAGTTATCATATTAGGCAGTTGACTAAAACCCCTTCCTCATGTGACACAAAAGCAACAATCCAAAACTGCATATATAATAACGACATTTAGTTTCACGAAGATTATACCAGTCAAGCTCTGAAGAAGCCAATAGGATGATTCGCGAAACATCAGCAATTTCGACTCAGCAAAAACCGACACAGGAGGAATCCAGAAGTTTTGTAAAAATATTATACCAAAAAGCAATTAATTGGAATACGTCTGTGATGCTTATACAAAAAATCTAGGGCATACAGTTTTAAGGCTTCCTTCCACCTTACCACTGTATATGTATCCCATTGAACATGTTTGGCACCAACTGAAATCTGCCATTCGTCATAACAATGTCTCAAACTTATAGAAACCGAAGTTTTTAACATCCCTCCACAAAGTTGGGCAAATTCTATTAAACATATAGAAAAAGCAGAACAATCGTATATCCATATTGCAAATAATATAGAACAAATAATAATTAGAACAGGCGATGATAGTGATACTGATTTATTATGTGAATAACTTTAAGTAATTTAAGTAGGTAATAAAAATAGTTTGTAATTTTATTTTATTATTTTATTATTATTATTTTAGATTTAAACATAAATACATACATAAATAAATGAATATTGTTTAGTATCTTTCCTAACAAAACCCCAAATAATCAAATTCTAAGGAAGCCATATTTCATTCTTACAGCTTGTGCTGGTCTTTCCTTAATTTGTATCAGTTAGTCACTTTCTTATGATGATAGCGATAGTGATACTGATATATTATGTGAATAATTTTATGTAATTTAATAAATCAAACCGGTCCTAAGGAAATTGAGACACAAAATATATGAATATATTCTGCTGTATTGCGTACTTATGGCGCGTGTAGAAGCCGCGCGATAAGATTGTATCAATACCATAACGGTAGGAATCGGTGTTTTTCAAATAACGTTCTAATGTTGAGCCAATATAAATTTTAGTTTTTTTTTTTCGAACGGAAAAGCTAAAAAGGGTGCTTCCTCTTAATCCCAGAACTCTTTTTCTTTTGTGTAATTTTTACGTCAATTTTTCTCGGTCTCGGGTAATATTTTTAATTTCGATTTTAGAAATAGCCTAGGCAAGATGTTCCGAAGTAAGCAACAGTAAAGTAACTAAGTTTAAGATTAATACTTTAAGGCTCAACTTCCAAACAAAAAAAAAATCTGTCTAGATAAAGCAAAACTGGGTAAGGATCCCATGTGTTGTAAAATCTAGGTATTAATGGGTTTCTACTAAACAATCCCCTAAAAGAACATTTTAAAATGTTTTCTGCTTCTCGATTAAAGGAAATTGATAAAAAAGATGCTCCATAACTATAAAGTGTGGAGTACGAAACTCCTGCTTCTGATGGCTCTAGAAAAAATCTTACTATTGACACAAACAAATTGTATATTGTTGGAGAGTCTTGGGTGATACAGAATCTATCATGACGGGTATTATCTCTTCGGAGCTCGCCTTTGCCTCTAACGCTTCCCAGAAAACTCACTTTTCCTGCCATCAGGGAAAGTGACCCATGGAGAGGGTGTTTTGTTCTGAAAGAAGATTAAATTAGGTCCTCCTTTGGACAAAAAGTGATCGGATCTTCAATTAACAACTCTAATAATAAAGGGTACCAGGAACAGGATGGCCATTTTGGAACCACCCCTATACCCGTTGCTCTATGCATCTGGATGTTGTTTAATACCTTCTCCAATAAAATAAAAGGCCGAAAAGCATAAAGCTAAAGTAACTGTCAATGTATTGTAAATGCATCCGCAACTATACTGTTCGGATCTGGGCCCCAAGGAACATATTTCTGACATTTTTTGTTAATCCTTGAGGCAAAAAGATCGATTTCTGGCTGTCCAAAAGCGCCTACAAACTCAAATTCTGTGTTAATTCCTTTATCTCTTGAAAGAAAATCTGCTCGTACATTATCGTTTGTATTAAAATACGAGCCAAAAATATATTTATTTTTCAACTCGCACCAGCTCCAAATGTGTCGAGTAATGTTATTTAATTTTCTCAATCGAGTACTACCCATTTTATCAATATTTACTATATTTCTAGCAAAACATTTTAAGGCGTTAAACACTGCACACAACTCCAGTCAATTTATGTAATTTAAAATTTCTTCCAATTCCAATTCCAAAAACATTTTGTTTCGTGCTGATCACAACAGGTTCCCAACCTGTGTTAGATATATCAGAGAACACTTCTAGACAATATGGATCTTCAACAATCGATCTATGTGTGTTTTAGGTTTTTTAATATTCGCCATCTAAATTTCGAGGTTTTACCATATTTTTATTATAGTTATTTCTACTAACTTTTATGGCGTTTAATTTTAATATTTCGAACGGTTTTATATGCAGCCAGTCATACCAAATGGCAGATGAGATTGACACAAGCTTCCCTATTATTATATTTGTTTTGGTTTATCGATTGTAAATACTAGGGTTATTTTTATAGAATTAAAAATAAAGCCTAGATACTGTATTTCCTGTGATGAAATTAACACACTTTGATGTTTGTTTATTGTAAAACCTAGTGACACTATCTAAAAGGAAACTGTCTGAAGAGAACGTTGACGTTGACGCTTATTTGTTGCCCAAAATTAATAAGTCGTCTAAATATACTACTAGTCTAAAAGCTACGCTTAAGCAAAATGATAAGCAATTAAATTCATAATATTTCCTGTAATTTTTGCATATATGTAAATGAAAATATGCATCCTTTAAGCCAATTAAGCCTTCCTTCTTAAAATGATGATTACTAATAA